AAGGCTCACTTCCTGCAAGACATCCCCAAGGAGAAGCCACATGGACCTACCCCGATGCAGCCCTGGGTGCTGGAGCAGCCATGTGAAGACCCGTGACAGTGATGAGATGCTTACACATTCAATGACTTGGCTTTCCTCCTGCAGCCGCATCACTGTATGTGTTTTGTGAGTTGGAGGAGGACTTTGTGGATTGGTGTTGGACATATGGGCTAATGTTGGACTTGTGGGCTTGGGCAGCACTGGGTTGGGATGTGCTCTTGATGTGCACTTAACCTTTATATAAAACTCTTTCTTATACATGAGTTTCTGTGAATTTGGTTCTTAAAGTACCCAGACTATCATAATGTCCAAAGTACATGAAGCAAGTCTTGCCATCCTTGCTTCTAAGGAGCATTCTGGCTGCACCTCTTCCAAAATCAATCTGTTTGTTCTGTTGGCAGACCGTGGTACGTTCAATCTCCTGCACCAGCACCATCATTCAAATGCATCCATTCTTCTTTGGTCTTCCATGGGCAATGTCCCACTTTCACATGCATATGTGGTGATTGAAAATACCATGAGAGCTATAGTAGTCACTAATATCTTCCAAAATTCTATTGAGAGGTAGGGGTGGGGGGAGCACACAACTCAAAATAGTACTGGATTGAATTATAATGTACATTACCATCAGCACTCCAGTCAGGCAATAATGTCTTTATATTTAATGTATCTGACTAATTGATGCTCATTGCAGTCTAAGATGAAGATATTATAACCACTGTACACAGACTGCTAGAGCCACGGCTTGACCGCTGGACTTCTTGGCTTCCTTTCACATGCTTATTGCCTCAACATTGAAAAGTTTGGCTTGCAGCTCAATTTTACGGTAATGGATTAAGGAGGAACTTAAAAGTGTTAAAATATTTTTTTTTAAGGCCTGGTAAGGGAAAATAAGCTTTGGACACCTAGCAGCCTCTCCACAGAGAAGAACTCAGTATTCTGTGTTTAAGGGACAGTAGATGAAAATGTTTCCTCCAAAGTTCTGAGGGGAAAGAAAGCAGACCGACTATTCCATCTCTCCTTGGTAGGATCTCAGAGTGCCTTCAATTATGTGCTATGAAAGCTGATTTGGGTCCATGGATGACTGAAAGTTATTGCCCCTTCCTTGGCAAGCTGCAATTTGTCCAATGTGTCACACGCAGTTCAGATGCATTAGAACTCCTTGGCCCAGTTCGCTTCCACATAGAGGAAATGACTACCACTTAGGGTGGAATCCAGGTAACAGGAGGGAGTTTCAGTGGGAATTGCTCCATGTTACTGTATATGATTTTTTAAATGATACTGTTCTTATCTGTTTTGACCTCCTCATCTCTTCTTCTACTAGGCTTTTTGCTGTGTGGCCGCAAGGAGTTAGTCCTTGCCGTTGCCAGACCTCAGCACTTGGTACAGCATACAACCCAAGACCGTACTCGGTGCCATGAAGTCACTGCTGACTCAAAGCGGCCCGTGTGGGTTTCTGAGCCTGTCACTGTTTAGGGGAGTCGAAAGCCCAGTCTTTCCCCGGAGGAGCTGCTGGGGGTTTCAAACTGCCGACGTGTGCCACAAATGTTTACTGAAATTCTTATGAAAAGGGCAGTTTTATTCATTACAGTCGTCCTGATGGCTGGCTAGTTTAGCTGGCCAGCACATGAATGGCCTCATCCCCATCTTCTCCCTCGGTCCCTTACCAGTGTTCTCCCTTCTCCCTTTCTCTGATGGAGTGGACTGGACAACTGGGGAAAAGGGAACCTGTGCTTTCCCAGCCCCCTGACTGGCAGGCTTCCCCCCAGCGGCCTTGAGGAAGCAGAGTCCAGCAGGTGTGGGTGCCTGCTGCCTGGCTATAGGAATGGCCAAGTTGTGGGACCCACTTCCAAGATGTCTTGGTGGAGAACATCCTCAGGGATCTGACCCCTGGGCTGCAGGGGACAGCACTGATCTCATCCTGGAGCTCCTTTGTGCAACAGGAGAGCGCCGGGCCCCCACCCTCCTGCCCACTCCCTCCCGTAACGTGCCACACTCCCAGGCTGGCTCCACTCTCCCCACCCGCCTTTGCGCACACATCCCACTGCCCCCACCCCCGGCCCCCCTTTGTGCAGCGAAAGGATGCTTCTAGTAAGGTATTCAAAGCAGATGAATAGCTAGTGACTGACACGTTCCTGGGGCGGTGAATCGAGCGTGCGCGGGCGGCGAGGGGAGGGAAGGTAGTGGCAGACGACCGCTGGGAGTATGAATGGGGGCGGTCCGGCGAGTGTGGGGTTCAAACCAGGATTTCTCAGCATCCAGCTCCGGACGGGCACGAAGGGCTGCGCGTAATCTTGCAGCTGTGGGTAGCGATGGAGACGCCGTGAGCTCTGGGCCAGGTGGAGCACTATTCAGCACAACTCCCCTTAGAATCGAGTCGGGGAGTATTGTGGGGGGCAGAGAGGTAGGTGGCCTGGAGAGGAAACGGGGCGGGGAGGGGGGTCGGGGCGATGGCAGGAGCTGGGCACCTGGCTCCGCTCCCGAGAATTGAGAATTGACCTGGGGGTGGCCTCCGCGCTTACCACCTCCTCCCCCGCCGCCAGTCCGTGCGCGGTGTTCCCCGCGAGTGCCTTCCCCGGCCTGGTGGACCGGAGCCCTCTCTCCCGGGGGAGGGAAGGCGGGAGGGCTTGGCCGGCCAGCCGCGGGGAGAGGAGCTCGGCTCGGCAGAGCCTGGTCGCCGCGGGCGCTGCCCGGAGC